AGAAATAACAAGTGTAATATCCACTAAAGAAAAGCTTAAGTATATAACACCAACAATATCCGTTTCAATCAATCTCGCCTACGGTGCGACATGTACAGTGGGTTGGCGGATGTTGTTCTTCGTGGTGATATTGATGCAGGATCTAGAGGAAAGAGAATAATTCTACCTTCTCCTTTCACTGGTGGGGCTCGAAATATGATTCAGAACTATCAGAATGCAATGGCAATATGCAGATGGGCAGGTTATCCCGATCTTTTTATAACATTCACATGCAACCCAAAATGGCCCGAGATCCTTCGCTTTTTAGGCCCAAAGAACTTACGTCCTGAGGATCGTCCCGATATCGTATGCAGAGTGTTTACATCAAAATTAAAGCAGTTGATAAAGGATTTCTGTGAGAAACAAATATTTGGTGAAGTAAAAGCAGTTATGATCATTCTTTTCAAAATTTAAGAAAACAATTTACTTGAATTCGTTTACAGTGATATTCATAATAATTTGTCATTTTTAACTTTTCTTTTTCAGTTGTATACATTATTGAATTTCAAAGACGCGGATTGCCTCCTGCCCATATACTGCTTTTTTTAGCAAAGGAAAACAAGTTTCCCGATCCTTACGACATAGATAAGATTATATCTGCTGAGATACCTGATGAGACCTCTGATCCTTATTATTATGAAGCTGTAAAGGAAAACATGATCCATGGTCCGTGCGGACTGGCCAGAAAGAATTCTCCGTGCATGGTTGATGGGAAATGCTGTAAATGTTTTTCGAAACTATTTCTTGAATTAACTTCTGTTGATGATGACGGCTATCCGCGGGACAGACGTAGAGACAATGGAATGCATATACAGAAAAATGGTGTAGTTGTCCATAACGATTTTATCGTGCCCCACAATCGAAAATTGTTGATGAAATATGGTGCTCACATAAATGTTGAGTGGTGCAATCAGTCTCGGTCCATCAAGTACCTCTTCAAATATGTCAACAAGGGCAATGATCGTGTCACCGCATCATTTTATCAGCGAGTAGAGACGGAGAGCCGGACAAGCCTGCTGATGAGATTCACATGTTCTACGACTGTAGATATGTTTCTTCTTGCGAGGCTGCTTGGAGGTTGTTGGGTTACGAACTTCAGTACAAAAAACCTCATGTACAACGTTTGAGTTCCATTTGAAAGTCGAACATTACGTTATATTTGAGGATGATGATCGAATTGATGAGGTTATTAGTAAACCCACTGTAAATGAGAGTCAATTTTTGGCATGGATGGAAGCGAACAAGATGTATCCTGAGGCGATAAAACTTACTTATGTCGAGGCACCATCCAAGTTTGTTTGGAACAAAACGTTGAGAGGGTGGACTCCTCGAATCAGAGAACGCGCTATAGCCCGTCTGCTCTATGTTCCTCCCAACTCTGGCGATAATTTCTATTTGAGGTGCTTGGTTAATGTAATACGCGGAGCAACTTGCCACGAGGATTATATGAAGGTCGACAACGTTCAATATTCGTCGTATCGTGATGCTTGCCATGCCCTGGGTTTGTTTGGTGACAATCGTGAGTACATTGATGGGATATCTGAGGCAAGTCATTGGGCATCTGCTGATTCTCTCCGACGTATGTTTGCAACGTTGTTGGTCTCGGGATCGTTAGGTAGATCCGAGCACGTATGGGAAACGTGTTTGGATTTTCTCTCTGATGACATCACTTATAGGCAACGTATTCTCTTCAATAATGAAAGTATGTGATTTATTATTTATTTATATTTTATTGTTTAATTTATTATTTTTCATCTCCCTTTTTAGTAGTGTAATCAATTTTTATAAAATTTTGTTTTTAATCCCTTTTCTTTCATAGGTCTGCAGCTCCGTGATGCAGACATAAAGAATTTAGCTCTTGCTGAGATCGAACATTTGTTGAGACGTCGCGACACGAGTCTTCGGGAATATCCAACCATGCCTTTTCCCGATATGACAAGTTTCACTACAAATACAAATCGTTTGATTCTGGATGAGCTAAGTTATGACCGCAAGGCATTATTAGTCGAGCACAGTAATCTTCTTAGAAATATGACTGACGAACAGAAAGGAGTTTATTAAAAAATTATAGAAGCGGTACACTCAGGTCAGGGCGGTGTTTTCTTTGTCTATGGTTATGGCGGAACCGGTAAGACATATTTGTTGAAGAATTTAGCTGCAGGATTACGATCAAAGGGTAAGATCGTGCTTTGTGTTGCTTCAAGTGGAATAGCTTCTCTTCTATTGCCTGGTGGAAGAACTGCACACTCTCTCTTTGGCATACCTATTAATCTTCACGAAAATTTGTCGTGTGATATCAACCAGGCTAGCCCTCTTGCAGAACTAATTATACAGTCCTCCCTCATCATATGGGACGAAGCTCCAATGATGCATAAGCATTGCTTCGAAGCTGTTCAAACATCATTTCAGGCGATCATGGGTTCGGTCAACCCGACCAACCATTTTAAACCGTTTGGTGGCAAGACTGTCGTTTTCGGTGGAGATTTTTGACAAATTCTCTCGGTGATTCCAAAGGGAAATCGTCAACAGATTGTTAACGCTTCGATAAATGCTTCAACCATTTGGCAAGATTGTAATGTACTTAGGCTAACGAAGAACATGAGTCTTCAGAGCCTTGATGATTCAGATGAACGTGAGGAGCTTTCTAATTTTGCTGATTGGATTGCTAGCATCGGAGATGGTACTATTGGAGGTTATAATGATGGTTGTGCCTCCATTGAAATACCAGATGATCTGTTAATAGCTCCGTCCGATGATCCCATTGCTGCAATTGTTGAGAGCACGTATCCAATGTTCAAGAATGCAACAGGTGATCCAAGTTGTCTGATGGACAGAGCTATACTTGCAACTATGTTGGAGATCGTTGAGTCTATTAACCAATACATGTCGTCGTTGAATCTAACGGAAGGTTGTGTATATCTGAGCTCCAACATTACGTGTAAATCCGATTTGAATTCTGACTTCTTGTCAGAAATCCACACTCATGAGTTCTTAAATTCTCTCAAATGTTCTGGTACGCCAAATCATGAGTTGAATTTGAAGGTGGGAACTCCGGTTATGCTATTGCGGAACATGGATCATTCTTTGGGATTGTGCAACGGGACACGTTTGGTTATAACCAGACTCTCCAAGCATGTCCTAGAATGTAGGATACTTACGGGGGACCATGCAAGGGAAAAAGTGTTGGTATCTCGAATGACGATAACTCCTTCGGATGCACAAATACCTTTTAAGTTTCAATGAAGACAATTCCCAATCGTGGTCTCTTATGCAATATTAACAAGAGCCAGGGTCAATCGTTATTCCACGTTGGTTTATTATTGAAGAAACCAATTTTCAGTCATGGTCAGTTATATGTTGCTGTTTCGCGCGTCACCAACAGAAATGGTTTGAAAATTCTAATATGTGGTGAAGATGAGTCGCCTCCAAAACAAACAAACAATGTTGTGTACAGAGAAGTTTTTAATAATATATGATTTATTTATTTTAATTATGTTTGCATAATTAGATGTTAAATTTAATTAATTACATTTAAATAGGTATTTCAATATGTTTTAAGTTAGAGGAAATAGCTATTTTCACCCCGTTCTGAAGTCATACTAAGTATTTCACACCACCCAATAAAAAGCTAAGTTTTTCACCCCAAAAAGTACGAAGACATATGCGATGAACTATGCGCTAAATAGGCGACAGGTATGAGCATGGGCGAGAAAATTATGAGTTAAATTATGCGACTGTTCTACGATGAATATTCGGAGATTCGATGTACGATTCGGTCAATCGCGGTCCGTCGCCCATTAAATAATTATTTCTGTTAGGCAAATGAACTGCGACTATTAGTCGAAAAAATTATTCTGCGACACAACTGCGACATGCCAACGTCGCATATTATTCGCGAAATTAGTGCATAATAAGTTTTTTTCGTATTTCTTTCATCTTTCAGTTATGCGAGGTGGTATGCGAATTACCGCATATTGCTAGCATACCCCCTTCGCCCTTCTACTCGAAAGTGTATTTTTTATGTATTTTTTTATTTCTTTCATCTTTCAGTTATTTCAGTTATGCGATGGGGTATGCGAATTGCCGCATATTACTCGCATACCACCTTCGCACTTCTACTCGAAAGTTTATTTTTTATTTCTTTCATCTTTCTGTTATTTCAGTTATGCGATGAGATATCGAATTACCGCATATTGCTCGCATACCCCCTTCGCACTTCTACTCGAAAGTGTATTTTTTATTTATTTTTTTTATTTCTTTCATCTTTCAGTTAGTTCAGTTATGCGATGGGGTATGCGAATTGCCGCATATTAATCGCATACCACCTTCGCACTTCTACTCGAAAGTTTATTTTTTATTTCTTTCATCTTTTTGTTATTTCTATTATGCGATGGGGTATGCGAATTCCACATATTGCTCGCATACCCCTTTCGCGCTTCTACTCGAAAGTTTATTTTTTATTTCTTTCATCTTTCATCGATCGAAAGTTTATTTTTAAAATTTAAATTTTTGAATAGTTTAGAAACCGCTGGCAGTTGGAACGTTACGGCCGATTTCGAGGCGTCTTATCCGCTTTTCAAAACGCCTGGGCAGTAAAAGCGTGCACGCGAATCGTTTCATCCGTCTATATAAAGCGTGTAATCTTCGATCCATATAATGCCACTTCTCTTACTACCCATCCGTTCCACAGAACTCTTTGTTAATGGCCCTCCGTTTTTCCCTTTTCTTGTATATGAGAAGCAGTTCGCCGGAGATAAACCAGAGTTACAAAAATTCATTCTTTCGACCCGTGAGGCAATTCTTTAACATTACTGTGTCCGAATTGAGAACTCCTAACCTTTCGGAGGAAAAAATTCAACGAGCATAAATTCCGCTATCCAACTTTATTAACTTGGCACCGACAGGAAACATATATGCCGAGACAACGACGATGTATATCAAATCTCCGGGCCCGGGTATTGCCGTATCAACTATGAGAAGGTTGAAGGTCGGAACGTTGCGCGTCGGCGGCCGGGGCGTAACGGCCCGGCCCTCTGTCAGAGGCAATGCTGGCCTCAACCTCTCTAGGTTGTGGTCGGCCAGGTTTTCCTGACAGAGGAAGGTGTTTGGTCGACGGGGATCTCTTCCCGGAACCCGCCAGAGCCCATCGGTTCAGAGCGTGGCGGTCGGGGCCGATCTCATGCTGGAGTTCTACATGGAACTCCACAAACAAGCTCCACCTACAGCTCATCTTCCTGGCGTCTGAGTGCTGTGGTAGACTGGTAGCTCGTCGGCTCCCCTGTCCTAGCTTTTTTTTAGGCTTGGCTGGTCCTTCGATTTTTTTTTTTTTAACTTTGTAATCGGCTGGGGTTGAAGCGACTGTAAAAGTAGTAG